AGACACAGACGTACACAGAACAGAGGGGGCACAGAGAAACATGAAGGGCAAGGGATCAAAGCTAGAAACCATAGAATAAATCACACAAGTACAAAATACAAGAATCACAAAGAACTAAAAACGCTGGGTCAGGAGACCCAGGCTCCTGACAGCAGTGAAGTTTTCCAGCTGTGGTTAAAGAGTGTGCACTGCAAGATGTGTTTTGATTAACCCCTTCAAGTTAATGCAGCATGCAATTTGTATTTTATATGTTGTTAGAAAAGTAAGATGTTTATTTGTGACACAACTGTTGCGTTTATGTTAGTCACGTGTAATATGTCAACATTTGTAAAGGTCCCAGATTTTAAGCCAACAGACCCCTTATTGATCCTCTACCTAATCACACGAGCCAAGGTGTGAAAATGGGTGTGGATGCAGAAGATGCAGATGTAATTACAGTTCAGAAAACAAGAAATCAACTCAACAGATCACAGTCACCACCACCAAAATCAGCACACCTCCATTTACCTTCCATCTGTGCATGTGTATCTTTTTGGCTTTTTAATTTTCTTAGCAAAATTAGGATTCACTGTGTTAATGCACTGATTCACAGAGGACAGCCTTACAATGATTTATTTGAGTTACACAGCAAACAACAGGTTACATGCATATATCTGTCATTCTTCCTTCAGTTAACAGTTTTGATTATACAGTAAAGAACAAAAAGTAGATGTACTGATTTTCCAGGAAGGTTATTTGGATTTAATTTGCAAAAGAAAATAAGTTAAAGAAAACAAGAACAAGACAAAAATTCAGTAGGATTAGATTTCTCATGAAATTAACTTTTTGTGTGACTTTTTTGTATAACATTTTCATTTTCTATCCCCCTCACACACTGATTATAGGTCAGGATCATCCTGGTCATTCAGGTAGTCCTCTCCATAGTCAATGATCTTTTTCAGGACACTCAGTATAAGTGAATCCACATCGTTCTCCGTCTCAATCTCTGTGTGGTAGTTCTTCACGAGGAAGATGCAGTTCAGTGGAATACCCAGGTTCATGTTCACTGTTTCCATCTAAGTTTAAACAAAATTACATTTTAAAAACTGAAACTGTATTGTTGCACTAGTGACATAATTATAAATTACTTCTTGAATTATTTGTACTGATTCCATCTGAGGTTTCTGTACAAATATACTGAAATGTACAGCTAAATTAGAGATGTTACATCCATGTGTAAACTGTCTACAAACTCGTGAAACTTATGAAAGTCCTGGAACATACCAGCTGATTCAAGTGTTTGCTCCTGTAGGCGTTCTTTATGTCTTTTTTGACTTCAGGACAGGCTTCATCAATTTTAGTCATGATAGCTATTTGTGGGATCCCTGCCAATACAGAAACCAATGCAATCAATTACATAATTTCTTAGGGATTAATAAAGTATGTTGATTAATTCTTATCTCATGTTTTTCAGGTATTTGAAATTGTACATCATATGAACGACAACTGCTCTCACCTTTGTCACGAGCTGCTGATCTGACATCTTTCATCTTCCTGACACTTTCATCATTCATTATGCTCACTGTGTCAGCAGGAATAACTAAAACCAGAATGTGGACTTTGTCATCTAAAGTAGGAAAACTGTTGTAGCTGGAATTTGTTTCAGGCAACGGAGATGTGGGATTGAACTGGAAAAAAGCAAAGTCACTGAAACCTTTTTGCATGATACAGTTTCTGTATCACAGCACTGTGTACAAGCATCTGAATGAAGATTTCATACCCTGTAATCTTCGTTTACATGTCCTCTAATGGCAAGTTTGATGTCTTCCACATGAATTCCTTTGTCACTGGACTGAAGGCCCATGGTGTCATTGAAGACAAAAGGGTAAAACGTTCCTGGCTCTCCTTTCTGAATTTTATATGTCCTGAACTGTAAATAAAAAATGTAGTGTTGTTACATTAGTTCAGGATACTAGAGACCCTAAAAAGTTTACCAAATAATTTACAGTCTAGTTGTACCTACTATCTTACTTTTTCTAGTTCAGTGTCTATATGGCAGTTACCACTGCAGTGTGTAGTGCTAGAAAATCTGTTTTTTCATGTAATGCTCTAACAGCAAATGCCATAAGAATAGATACTGTGGCTTGCAAAAGTATTCGGCCCCCTTGAACTTTCCCACATTTTGTCACATTACAGCCACAAACATGAATTCATTTTATTGGAATTCCAGGTGAAAGACCAACACAAAGTGGTGTACACGTGAGAAGTGGAACAAAGATCATACATGATTCCAAACATTTTTACAAATAAATAACTGCAAAGTGGGGTGTGTGTAATTATTCAGCCCCCTTTGGTCTGAGTGCAGTCAGTTGCCCATAGACACTGCCTGATGAGTGCTAATGACTAAATAGAGTGCACCTGTGTGTAATCTAATGTCAGTACAAATACAGCTGCTCTGTGACGCCTCAGAGGTTGTCTAAGAGAATATTGGGAGCAACAACACCATGAAGTCCAAAGAACACACCAGACAGGTCAGGGATAAAGTTATTGAGAAATTTAAAGCAGGCTTAGGCTACAAAAAGATTTCCCAAGCCTTGAACATCCCACGGAGCACTGTTCAAGCGCTCATTCAGAAATGGAAGAAGTATGGCACAACCGTAAACCTACCAAGACAAGGCCGTCCACCTAAACTCACAGGCCCAACAAGGAGAGCGCTGATCAGAAATGCAGCCAAGAGGCCCATGGTGACTCTGGACGAGCTGCAGAGATCTACAGCTCAGGTGGGGGAATCTGTCCATAGGACAACTATTAGTGGTGCACTGCACAAAGTTGGCCTTTATGGAAGAGTGGCAAGAAGAAAGCCATTGTTAACAGAAAACCATAAGAAGTCCCGTTTGCAGTTTGCCACAAGCCATGTGGGGGACACAGCAAACATGGTGCTCTGGTCAGATGAGACCAAATTGGAACCTTTTGGCCAAAATGCAAAACCCTATGTGTGGAAAACTAACACTGCACATCACTCTGAACACACCATCCCCACTGTCAAATATGGTGGTGGCAGCATCATGCTCTGGGGGGGCTTCTCTTCAGCAGGGACAGGGAAGCTGGTCAGAGTTGATGGGAAGCTGGATGGAGCCAAATACAGGGCAATCTTGGAAGAAAACCTCTTGGAGTCTGCAAAAGACTTGAGACTGGGGCAGAGCTTCACCTTCCAGCAGGACAACGACCCTAAACATAAAGCCAGGGCAACAATGGAACGGTTTAAAACAAAACATATCCATGTGTTAGAATGGCCCAGTCAAAGTCCAGATCTAAATCCAATCGAGAATCTGTGGGAAAATCTGAAAACTTCACAAATGCTGTCCATCTAATCTGACTGAGCTGGAGCTGTTTTGCAAAGAAGAATGGGCAAAGATTTCAGTCTGTAGATGTGCAAAGCTGGTAGAGACATACCCTAAAAGACTGGCAGCTGTAATTGCAGCAAAAGGTGGTTCTACAAAGACTCAGGGGGCTGAATAATTACACACACCCCACTTTGCAGTTATTTATTTGTAAAAAATGTTTGGAATCATGTATGATTTTCGTTCCACTTCTCACGTGTATGCCACTTTGTGTTGGTCTTTCACGTGGAATTCCAATAAAACTGATTCATGTTTGTGGCTGTAATGTGACAAAATGTGAGAGGCCCTGGGGACAGAATACTTTTGCAAGCCACTGTACATCCTCATACATACTGCAATGGTGAAGCTGTCACCAGAGGTTGCTGCTGCCAAAGCTCGAGTTGCGATTTTGCCTCTTAAAACACTGTCGACAGAGTTGATGAAGCTGGACTTTCCAGCACCTGGTGGTCCATAAAGCAGAATTCTGAGATGCTGGACATCTTTGTGAGGCTTGTAATCTCTGACAAGCTGCAGGTCTCGGTCTCTTTCACTGTTCATTAAGAAAATTACAATAGGATTTAGTGTGCACTTACAGTTTAACATTATACAACAGTAATATAAACAAACACAAAATAACACAATAAACTGATAACTCAAGCGTTCTGCCTCAGTGTGCGAAGTTACATAAATGAGGCATTTGATGTTTCATGTAACTCATTGGTCTGATCGGAAGAGGCGGAAGAGGAAAATGTGATGCTGATTTCTAAAGATTATAATAAGTATAACAGCAAGAGACAAACAAGTAGCAGAAAATGATAAATCTTTTGAATTCCTAATTTAATACATTTATTTTAGCACTCAGTGCACACTCAGCACTGTGATTCATTGCCAACAGAACAGCTGCACATTGGAGGTCTGAAACTCTCTACCGATACATTTAAACATTATATAATCTGGTCTGACATTTACATCTAATAACAAGCATGTGTAAAAAACACGAGTCACATCAAAGTTCTGGAACACAAAAAAGAACCACGCCCATAATACTCACATCCATGGTATGTTCCTTTCTTCTTTCTGTAAAACTGTAAAGTGAACATGTTAATTTTGTGAATAACAACACAAGGGAATTAAAAAAAAGAATCATGTGATGATTTAATCTTAATATTTAAACAATATTGTATTATATTTGAAATATCTTACGAGGAGATAAAGGTGGAGGGGGAAGGGGAGGTGGAGTACCTGCAATTAAAATATGACAATGTAGCAACATTTTTGCAACACTTTTCCATATTCAGTGTTACTTATATAATTTACTTATTTCATTTTCTTATGTCAAATTAAATGTTACCATTTTCCAAGTTCAGATCAAAAGTACATGATGGTATCTTTTGCATTATAAAATCACTTTGCAAACATCTATGACTAATCCAGACCAAGATAACACGAGAATCGAGGATTTTCTTATTTTAGCAGCTTTGATTTACACACCTCAAAAAGCTATTTGGTAGGTAGGTAGGTAGGTAGGTAGGTAGATAGATAGATAGATAGATAGATAGATATAATTTTATTTCGAACATGCAAATATAATTGAAATAACAACAGAAAAAACCCCCCCAAAACTTAAATATCATCAAGCTATTTGGTAAGTCAAGTCAAGCAAGTTTTATCTGTATAGAGCAATAATATATGAAAAACCCCAAAGAGCTTAACATGCATAAAAACATACTGGGAGTAAATGAAAAAAAAGAAAACAAATATTACCCAAAAAAAATCTGCTTACCCCGAATAAATTTTATAAGTTTCCTAATGAAGCTCATCATTTTTGCACTGACTACCTGTGAATAAAACAGGTAGTTGATTAAATGCCAGTTGCATTTAATAATTGTTTTTCTTACAGTACTGAAATGATAACACAATGTTAGCATACCTGAGTATCCAATTGTGATGGAAAAATAGTGGTTCTCTGGTGTTGCCTTCACTGATGTAGGCTGAGTATGACTTTGTTTTATATAAGCATGCTTTCAGTTTTATTTGAGTCATGTGACTTCTGTGAATTCCCTCCTCACTTGTCCACACTAGTCCGTTATAGCTTCTTTGTTTGTATGTGTCATACACACGTATTTCTTAGAATGGAATTATTGATTCAAAAGTAGCTTCTTAGTGTGTGGTAATTAATGACTAATGCTAATAATTACCACAGTGTACACAATACCTG